AGCGTGTGGACAAAAGCGGGAGCGAAAAGAAAGACCACGGCACGGGCGCGCGCAACGGCCGCGGTTGGACTCCGCATTCCTTTCTTTTTTTGCTGCTTTCTTGCACCCGTGTGGGGTGGGTGCCGTCCGTGGTGGTAGACGGTGACGACTTCACTGCCCCTGCCTCTAGTACGTTCGGTACTAGATCGGTTGGATCGCGAAGACGTTCGACTACATCAACCGCGTTAACCTAACACTTCCACTTTCGGTCTACGAGGATACATGCACACACTCTCCCCCTCTCGCTGCTATGCATCTCCTAGATAGATCTTGCGTGATCGTAGGAAAATTTTGAAATTGCATGCTACGTTCCCCAACAGTAAGAACAAGCTTAACCTGGATGGGGAAAGTGTGGAATGGCTTATGATCCATGATCTTAAACCTATTCTTCAGAGCTCCAAATGCCCTCTCGACAATAACTCTAAGGTCGGAGTGTATGAGACTAAATAGTCTGTGGAGTCCTAGGATAGTTCGTACCAATGAACTCGTTCAGATGGTACCTGGTTTTTCGGAATGGTGGAAGAACACCTGGCTGACATGCATAGCCAGCATCTCCTAGGTAGAACTTGCCATCGGGATGTTGATGCCATTAGGACGACTCATGCTGTCACTGAAAATGTTAGCATCATGTGCTGATTCTTCCCAAACAACCATCACATATGTGAACTTCATATCAAAGTTAACAACAATAAACACATTCTGGCTAATGTAGTGCTTTCTACCCCTGTATGCTGCAGATTGTGACCTCGACACTCTGGGAGTGACATGAGTACCATCTGTTGCCCCAATGCAATCCTGAAATGACATTATAAGATTGTGGTATGGCTATAGCCGAACAATACAAGCATATCAAGGCTTAAACTACATATTGTCAGTGCTCACCTTGAAGTATGGATACCATCTTGGGATAGTGTGAATCTTGCTAGGAGTCCAGCCGGTTGGTGACCTGATCATCTCTCCTCTGAGTTCCCTAGCAGCATACAACACTTGCCTGAAGTACTTGGAGATGGTCTCCATTGATCTCCTGAAGGTGTTGTGCATAACCTTGAACCTCTGGTTATAACCAACAATATGGAGGAACATGGCTGCTCTTCCATACTGGTGTGGATGCAATCTTGTAGTAGCCCTCTGCTTCTGAAGGTCTACACAAGCCTGGCAAAAGGTGCTCTCTTCATTCGAAGCATCCACAGAGCCTCTGTGTCGCTGCAGTTGTAGATGTAGTTCAGATTCACCATCCTCTCGTGATCCCGGATTAACACTGAACCATAATGGATGACAGGCTTATCACCCCGACGAACAACTCTCTTGTGGATCAACATGATCCATGCCTGAATCACATCTATCAATGCCGCGGCCTAAACTATCGGCTTCATCTATGCATCCATAACCTAGTCGACATCAAGTGTGCATTTGAGCAATGGGGAAATCGATCTTACACCTAGCCTAACGACCTAACAACCAACCTAACATAGGGAGAAGGGGGGCCATGTTGCTTACCGGCTTCGGAGACAACGACGATGAAGGGGGGGCATGGCCGAGTCGAGGATGACCAGATGGTGGCCACGAGGAAGGGAAGAAGCAACTCCTGCCGCCGGAGAGTGCTGCTGCCGCGTTCACTGATACGTCCATTTTGCATCATGCTTTTTTATCGATATTTATTGCATTATGGGCTGTTATTACACATTATGTCACAATACTTATGCCTATTCTCTCTTATTTTATAAGGTTTACATAAAGAGGGAGAATGCCGGCAGTTGGGATTCTGGGCTAGAAAAGGAGCAAATATTAGAGACCTATTCTGCACAGCTCCAAAAGTCCTGAAACTTCACGGGAGTTATTTCCAGAATATAAAAAATACTGAGCGCAAGAAGTACTAGAGGGGGGCCATCCACCAGCCACGAGGGTGGGGGGCGCGCCCTACCCCCCTAGGCGCCCCCTGCCTCGTGGGCCCCTTGGTGGCCCTCCGATGCCCATCTTCTGCTATATGGAGTCTTTCGTCGAGGAAAAAATCATAAGCAAGCTTTCCGGACAAGACTTCGTCACCACGAGGCGGAACCTTGGCGGGGAAACTTCCCTCCGGGAGGGGGAAATCATCACCATCGTCATCACCAACGATCCTCTCATCGGGAGGGAGTCAATCTCCATCAACATCTTCACCAGCACCATCTCATCTCAAATCCTAGTTCATCTCTTGTATCCAATCTTTCTATCCAAACCTCAGATTGGTACCTGTGGGTTGCTAGTAGTGTTGATTACTCCTTGTAGTTGATGCTAGTTGGTTTACTTGGTGGAAGATCATATGTTCAGATCCATTATGCATATTAATACTCCTCTGATTATGAACATGAATATGCTTTGTGAGTAGTTACGTTTGTTCCTGAGGACATGGGAGAAGTCTTATTATTAGTAGTCATGTGAATTTGGTATTCGTTCGATATTTTGATGAGATGCATGTTGTCATCCCTCTAGTGGTGTCATGTGAACGTAGACTACATGACACTTCACCATTGTTTGGGCCTAGAGGGAGGCATTGGGAAGTAATAAGTAGATGATGGGTTGCTAGAGTGACAGAAGCTTAAACCATAGTTTATGCGTTGCTTCGTAAGGGGCTGATTTGGATCCATATGTTTCATGCTATGGTTAGGTTTACCTTAATACTTCTGTTGTAGTTGTGGATGCTTGCAATGGGGTTAATCATAAATGGGATGCTTGTCCAAGTAAGGACAACACCCAAGCACCGGTCCATCCATATATCAAATTATTAAAGTACCGTACGCGAATCATGTGATCGTGATAAAAACTAGCTTGACGATAATTCTTATGTGTCCTCGGGAGCGCTTTCCTTCATATAAGAGTTTGTCCAGGCTTATCCTTTGCTTAAAAAAGGATTGAGCCATTTTGCTGCACATTTACACTTGTTACTTGTTACTCGTTACCAATTACCTTATCACAAAATTATCTGTTACCGATAATTTCAGTGCTTATAGAGAATACCTTGCTGAAAACCGCTTATCATTTCCTCGTACTCCTTGCTGGGTTCGACACTCTTACTTATCAAAAGGACTACGATAGATCCCCTATACTTATGGGTCATCATTCACCGCTGCCGCCGCCGCTTGCGCACATCGGAGTCGCCGCCGTCGCCGGTGCTAAAACAGAGGAGTAGCTTATCCTAGGGCTAGCGGTGACCGAGTAAATGTGGGGTTGAGGCTAGATTTGGCGCCATACCGCTGCACCCGATTTCCATCTCCCGCCATCTTCATTTGATTTCGCGTTGCTCTCCCCGTGCGAGCTGCATCCTTTTTGCGCCGCACTTAGTCTGATTCGCTGGAAATTGCCAATCTAAAGGTTTCAAGCGAGCCAGGCTATGTGCCGCTTTTAAAATTCGTGTTGATGTGAGCAGCCCACACCGTTTGCAACCAAACTTGTTTTTTCTCGCACTTAGGGCATCTCCAATAGTTTGTATGCTAGCTTGTTGATAAAATATGTCATGTCATGAATCAACACCTTAACATACAACAACTTTAATGGGTTGTATCTAGTTGCCCAATAGAATATGAGATAATAAATAAGGTGTTCTCTCATTCTAAATTGGAGCTTGTGCAAGAGATGTTGGTTCATGTACATACAACATTCCTCTCTTTCTTTATTTATTGTATGCCACATCATTAAAAATTCTATGTGGCAAAGTCTACCAACGACTATCCATTGGAGATGCCCTTAGATAATACATAATGCACGCTGGAAATATCCTCGTATCCGAAATCCGTTTCCCAGGCGTTGCTTCTTCCATGCTCCGATCCGGCCATTCCCCGCCGGCGGCAACGGCAACGGCGACCGCGCCCGTAGTACACCGTACGCCCTCACCCCGCGCCACTGCCCCGCGCGCACGATAGTTAAGTGATAGTCCCAACACGGCAGCACCACCGCGTGACGCGCCAGCTATCTCGCTCGCTGCCGACCTGCTGCGTCCCGCGGCCGCCGACGCCTGGCAGCTCGGCCGTGGCGGCGGCAGCGTGGGGACAAAAGCGGGAGCGAAAAGAAAGACCACGGCACGGGCGCGCGCAACGGCCGCGGTTGGACTCCGCATTTCCTTTCTTTTTTTGCTGCTTTCTTGCACCCGTGTGGGGTGGGGTGGGTGCCGTCCGTGGTGGTAGACGGTGACGACTTCACTGCCCCTCCCTCCGTCCGTCCGTCCGTCTGTCCGCGCATCTGGCTCCCTCCCTCCCTCCCTTCCTTCCCTTTTCAGCGCCGCTTCCTCCTCGCCCTGCCTCCGCCGCAACCAACCTTCCGGCAGCTCCCGGCGTCGAGCCGCCGTCGACCGAGGTACCCTACCGCCCGCCCCTGCTCTCCTCCCCGCTCCGCCAAGCTGGGCAGATCTGGGTTTTCTTTTCTTTGGTCGAGTCGCGGGGGCTTGCCGTGGTCAAGGGGTGGAGGGGTTGATTTTTGGGGGAGGAGCCATCGGTGCCAGGGCCGGTGGCTTCCCGTCGCCGTCGCTGAGCGTTCTTGGCTCCGATCGCTTGCCGGCTTCGGGCGGGTACTGTGCCGTGCTGCGTGTTGATGTCTAGTGGGGAAAGGGGGAAGTGGCTTGAGGTGACACGCGGTGCTGAAATGCGACGGGTGTGCTGAAATTCAGAAAATCTTTCTTCAAAATTCAGGGATGCCAGTGGAAGGCGGGCGTGATCATGAGCTGTTAACCACTTGCAGATGGGCGATTGCCTCTTGTTGTGTGTTTGAGCGCTCTACTGCTATGCTATATGTGTTCACGAACATTCAGTGCTATTTTTTATTATTTATGTTATTATTACACAGTTCCTGTTATTTTAAAGTGATATGAGCCTGCTGTGGTGTTGTTGCAGTTCCACAATGTGTATGAGTGGATTGGGCATGGTGACTCATTTCTGCATTTCTTCTGCTGTAGGGAATGTTGTGACAACTGATGCAGTCCTGAACCTTCGGCGATGGAACGATGCGACTGCATCGAGCCGCTGTGGCCGACTGACGAGCTGCTCATCAAGTACCAGTACATCTCCGACTTCTTCATAGCCCTCGCCTACTTCTCCATCCCGTTGGAGCTCATCTACTTTGTGAAGAAGTCGTCCTTCTTCCCATACAGATGGGTTCTCATCCAGTTTGGTGCCTTCATAGTCCTCTGTGGAGCAACCCATCTCATAAACCTCTGGACTTTCACCACCCACACAAAGACCGTGGCCATGGTCATGACGGTTGCCAAGGTTTCGACGGCCGTCGTTTCCTGCGCGACAGCTTTGATGCTTGTTCACATCATCCCTGATTTGCTGAGTGTCAAAACGAGGGAGCTGTTTCTGAAGAATAAAGCTGAGGAGCTCGATTGGGAGATGGGCTTGATAAGGACGCAGGAAGAGACCGGGAGGCATGTTAGGATGCTAACTCATGAAATCAGAAGCACACTCGATAGACATACGATTTTGAAGACTACCATTGTGGAGCTAGGAAGGACCTTGGGTCTGGAAGAGTGTGCCCTGTGGATGCCGTCAAGAAGTGGCTCGAGTCTCCAGCTTTCGCATACTCTGCGCCACCAAATCACTGTTGGGTCATCTATATCAATTAATCTTCCTGTTATCAACCAAGTTTTCAGTAGCAATCGAGCAATTATAATACCGCACACATCCCCTCTGGCACGGATTCGGCCTCTTGCAGGACGATATGTTCCACCAGAAGTGGCTGCAGTGCGAGTACCTCTCCTGAATCTTTCAAACTTCCAAATAAATGACTGGCCAGAGCTTTCCGCAAAAAGCTATGCTATTATGGTTCTCATGCTTCCATCCGATAGTGCAAGGAACTGGCATGTGCATGAGTTGGAGCTTGTTGAGGTCGTCGCCGATCAGGTTAATGCCGCCTCTTTTTTCTCGAACACAATGCCGCCTTTTTTCTATAGATATTTGTAGGGGTGAATAGTGTTTAAGGTGTTGTCAAATGCATATGCATGTGATGTTTCGACCCATAGACTCTTCAACTGGGAAATGTTTTATTTATTCACAACTATGAATTGTTCAAGGGCTTCTGCAAATAACATCAGACCATTCTAAAAAATCTATGTTTCCTTGAAACCAAAAGATACCAAGATATAGATGAGGTCTAACATGAATACATTATCATGAAATGATATTGAAGCAGATTTTTTCCCTATTTTTCAGGTAGCAGTTGCACTCTCTCATGCAGCTATTCTTGAAGAGTCCATGCGTGCACGTGATTTACTGATGGAGCAAAATGTTGCTCTGGATTTAGCTCGACGAGAGGCTGAAATGGCCATCCGTGCTCGGAATGATTTCCTAGCTGTTATGAATCATGAAATGCGAACACCAATGAATGCAATCATAGCTCTTTCATCCTTGCTCTTGGAAACTGAACTCACTCCTGAGCAGCGTTTAATGGTGGAAACAGTATTGAAAAGCAGCAATCTTCTAGCAACACTCATTAATGATGTGTTGGATCTTTCCAAACTTGAGGATCGCAGCCTTGAATTGGAGATCAGAGCATTCAATCTTCATGCTGTTTTCAAAGAGGTCGCAATATTATCCTCTCCTTTTCTATAAAGTCTATATGCATAGTTCACTTGCCTGAAAGTTTTTGTTCGTGTTACAGGTGATGGGTTTCATCAGACCAATTGCAGCTATCAAGAGGCTGTCTATGTCGGTTATGTTAGCGCCAGATTTACCATTATGTGCTATTGGCGATGAAAAGAGGCTAATGCAAACTATCCTAAATATCTCCGGTAATGCTGTTAAGTTCACCAAGGAGGGCCACATTACACTTCTAGCTTCCGTTCTCAAGCCTGATTCTTTAAGAGAGTTCAGAACCCCAGATTTCCATCCAGCTGCAAGTGATGACCATTTCTATCTGAAAGTTCAGGTAACTATTATAGAGATTTGTGTGAGCAATTTTTCTTGTCAAGGCTATGAGCTCATATTCTCGCCATAGGATTCAGAAATCAAGATCTAAATACAAGACAACTTAAATGCACTGTGCATCTTCAGTCATTGGACAAACCTTTGCTCAACATGTGCATGTATGAAATTAGAGACTTCTGACCATTACTTGTCACTATTGGGCTATGGGCATGAGGCACATCCAAAATCTCGGCTGAACTGTTTCGTCAAGTCATCTTCAAGTTGTCCATATGACTGTCTAGGTCCAGATGTTTTTCCAGTTCTCCCTATTTGGCTTTATAACAACAAAAACATGAAGCAGTGGTACATGAGCCGAGAAACCCAAACCAACCCATCGCCTTGTCAACTATGCAGGAGCAATGTTAAGATATAACAACAAAAACTTCCATCTGATTCAGTTAAAAGAACATTTCATCAGGAAAGCTCGCATGCTGACATGACTAAAAACTCCAATTTAGCTGCTCCCAGTGTTCCTGGGATTAGAACTAAAATAAAAGAAAATGTTTTATTTATGATTACAGATCATGAACATGCCACAGAAACATGATGGATTTTGAGAGAAGTGGTTGGTCAAAAACAATATCCAACTGTAAAACTGATGTGTAATCATTCACTCCCTCTGTCCCATAATGTAAGACATTTTTGACACTACACTAGTGTCAAAAAACGTCCTATATTATGGGACGGAGGGAGTATTTGTTTAGCAATTTTCTTGATTATTAAAGCCTCTGTTATTTTTCTGTTGCAGCTAAAGGATACAGGCTGTGGCATTAGTCCTCAGGATCTACCCCATGTATTCACAAAATTCGCTCAAACTCAGCCTGGAGGTAACCAAGGTTACAGTGGCAGTGGCCTTGGACTTGCCATTTGCAGGAGGTAGATCACTATCACGCCTTGATCTTCTTACTTGTAAACCTTCTAGAGTGTATGTTATTGTGCTTGGTAATTCTGCTTCTCTTGAAGTAGCACACAAAGATGTACTGCCGTGTAACTTTTTATGAGACGTTTTAGAGTCTATGACAGTGTCAAAAAATGTCTTACATTGAGTTACAGAGGGAGTATATATATTTATGTCATGGAGGGGTTCTTAACTAACTAGTGAACCACTCGTTCTAAAACTCGGGAAACCGTTCTGAAAATCCTATGCAGGTTTGTTACTCTGATGGGAGGGCACATCTGGCTGGACAGTGAAGGAGCAGGAAGAGGTTGCACGGCTACGTTCATCATCAGGCTCGGCGTATCCGACAACACCGACGCATATCAGCAGCAGCTGGCCCCTCTTGCCTGGCCAGGCAGTGCAAATGTCGAATCTGCCGGTCCGAAGGCACTTCACGAGGAGACGTGGCCGCCATCTTCCCTGAAGCCTCGTTACCAGAGAAGTGTATGAGCTAGTGTAAACTATCGACGGCGCCGCATCAAGTAGGGAGTCGTAGCTAGTTTTGTCCCCCCTCTAATTTTGTGCCTAGTCTTGCTGTAGCTGGCATATATTGTACAAATAATGTGTATAGCAAATGGGACTTCAGATTGCAGTTAAGTTCCTGGGTACAGCACCAACTCGCTGCGTTCAGTAGCATATGCGGTCAGCCAATTTGCATATTTTGATTGTGCGTGAGTCCGGTTATATCAGATCGAAGCTACTTTCCGTGGAAACCATGTGTAAAAGTTTCGACAAATTCTATAGTATGTATACAGTGGTGGTGACAATATGTAGATCTGTAAAAATGTTAATGTTCTAGATCAAACTCATCTTATTTGGAAGGTATATAGAGAAAAAGAATAAGATAGGTATATCTTGTTCCAGAAACAGAAGTACTTGAAAATGCCGGGAATAAAGATCGGAGGTGAAATAGGTGGGGCTCCTTTCTGAGAAAGATGGGAACATGCATGGAAATGCCCAAGGAAACACCAAGGAATATCCTCACTACCAGTACTGCTCACTAAAAATACACAAACCGATATTCTGTGGCTCTGTAATGTGAAGATATAAGCTGCAACAAAGTTAGAAATGTATTTTTTATTTGTTTATGTATTTATACATGGTGAATGTAATCTTTGCACGTCAAAATGACATTTATGTCTTGTACCAAATATCATCATGTCATCATATTTTTTCAAAATTGTTTTAGTCGGCACTGATTATATTTATTTGAGCATCAATTTCCAGAGGTGATACTAAAAAAACCATTTTAGAATATATTTTCATTATCTGTCCATATTCTTATTTAAAAAAATGAAGGGTAAAGGAGTAGGCTGAGGTGCCTATCATTGAAGATGGTACATTTGTACTTATGCACACCTAGCACGAATAGTTCATCCGTGCATTTTGTTAAAGGCATTGAAGCATAAGATTTGTGTAGTACTAGGAGCAGATGTAAATAACAAATAGCTATCAATAACATCGGATACGTCGCGAAGATACGATTGCTAGTGAGAAAAGTGTCTGCATGCTTTATATTTCAGTTTACTGTCCGTGTATTCTCTATCAACCCTCTTCCGATATCCACTTTCCTCACGAGCTAATCCTTGACCTCAACCAAGAAGCATGATGAGATAAACAGAGATGAACTAATAGGGATGGGATGCATAGGGACATCTTCCACAACATGCTCACTTGCTAGCACATCGTTGGGCGTTTGGATGACCCAATGGTCTTGCCCAACTCCAAGCCACATTCATATCCCTAGCTTAGGGAGGCATGCTCATCACAGCAGCGCTGGCCCCTGATGAAGTTCGTTGATGGAACAGCGTTCGTTGTTGGTGTGCTTCTCCTTCGTTGTTGACACATGCTGTCACAGATGCCCCCTGCCTTCGTCAATATATGAAACTTGTGCAACAGTGGGATGATGTAGTTTGGCCTATTGAGATGTAATATGGCAGGGTTCAAAATAAGTAGCAAAGCGAGTTCGAGGTTGCTACAAATAGTAGTTCAGGTGTCCAACGTAAGCTCATTGTAGCCTGACAACAATGTGGTTCTTGACAGGTAATTAGTAAGAGAAAGGGTTAATTAGGTAATATCGTCCTTAGATTTGTCATAAAAATACTATCTTGTACTTACGTAATTGTATTGAAGTAACAACCACATAGAGAGAGTGAAATCACCATCTATCTTGGCACATAAATTGAATAAAAACGACCATAATTGTAGGCGCATGAACTGATTATATGAAATCCTACCATCAAACCAAGGGAGCTCACTTCAGTGAAAAAGAAACATCACTTTAACACCCTCGTATGAGAGGCTCACCACAGCAACAAGGTAACAACAATAGTAATATTGGAGAAACATCATAACAATGTTGAAAACACCGCCACACGCAATGAAACATTTCACTGCCACTTCATATCGTACATGGGCATTGTAGATGTAGTGGACATTTCACTGTCCAAATATGAACAAGCATGGAGAATGCATACAGCAGTGTGGCCCTCCGAAGATCGCAGCAGGATCCTCTAATTTCACGCATGCGCATATCAACGCAACAATAAACAAAAATTGGGTGTTTAATGTCTTTTTAGGGGATTGGGTGCTTAATGTTCACATCACTACAGATACACAAACTGATACTATGCAGCCCCATATGATTTCCAAACAAGATAATCAGCCGGTAATGTGAAGATATAAGCTGCCACAAAGTTAGAAATGTAACTTTTTATATATTTGTTTATGTATTTAGACATGGTGAATATAATCTTTGCACGTCAAAATGATATATTTATTTCTTGTATGAAATCTCATTGTATCATCATATACTTTTTAAAAACGGTATTACTCAGCGTACTTATATTTATTCGGGCATCAATTTCCAGAGATGACACTAGAAACATTTTCAAATATACTTTTATTGTCTATGCATATCCTTATTTTCAAAAGTGAAGGGAAAAGGAGTAGGTTGAGGTCCCTATCATTGAAGATGACACTTATGCCCACCTAGCATGAATACTCCATCTGTACATTTTGATGAAGGCATCAAAACATTAGATTTGTGTAGTACTACGAGCAGACGTAAACAACAAATGGCTATTAATAACATCGGATACGCCACGAACATGCGCTTTGTAGCGAGAATAGTGTCTGCATGATTTATATTTCAGTTTATTACCCATGTATTCTACTTCAATCTTTCTTCCGATATCCACCTTCCTCGCGAGCTAATCCTTGACCTCAACCTAGATCCTAGAAGCATAGCGAGACAAACAGAGATGAACCAATAGGGCTGGGATGCATGGGGAAATCTTTTACATCATGCTCCCTTGCGAGCACATCGCTGGGCGTTTGGATGACCCAATGGTCTTGCCCAACTCCAAGTTGCGGGCTTGACTCTAGCTTAGGGAGGCATGCTCATCACAACACTGCTTGCCCATGACCAGATTCAGTGCTCGAACATTGTTCGTTGCCAGTTGTTCTTTGTAGATGTATGGCACTTGTTCATCAATGGGATGATGTAATTTGGCCTATTGAGATGTAATATGGCAGGGTACAAAAAAAGTGCAAAACGGCTTCATGATGCAAAGCGTTGAGTTACCATCAGAAGGTATTGTGAATAATCACTCTCTTCCAGCATCTATTGTAGGTCCCTTGCCCACTTGAGACAAAACATTTTTTTTGTGAACTACGAGATAGATATTGCGCTGAAATGTGTTGTTGACTGTTCATCCAAAGTACGAACTTCATTTCCCACTAAAACGAACAATTACAAGAATCATTTGAGATAGATAGGTGTTGTACTAACCAGACAAATCTAGTGATTAAACAACCAGTAGGGGATGTGGATGTTAGCGACTTAAATTACCTGCCTCATGTAAACCTACAAACTAGCCTATCACCTTATCTCTAGACTTTGATATCTTGGATTCTGAATGTCAATTTTTTCTTTTTCAGAAGTTTCGAGTGCAACGATCCGCCTTTGCTCAACACATTGAGGTAGAAAACCCGACAATGCTTCCAGCTTGAGATGTAGCTTGTTTTTTGCCATGTAGAGGATCTCGAACCGAGGCCAGGAGGCACCTTTAATTTGCTCATGCATAAGGACAGGTTCTGCTGGTAAAAAAACACTGGCCGCTCTTGAGAAAATGGTTGGGTCAGTATTGCTTCATTCAGGCATTTAGATCATGTGTAGCTATGAAACACTCTTGATGGTAAAATATTAGTATTCAGGCATTCAGAGCTCCCAGTTTAATTACTCAATGAAACTGAAACATGGAGTTCCGAATGTACCAGCGGACACAACAATAGTAGCTACTCCCTCCGTTCAGAAATAACTGACGTGGTTTTAGTTCAAATTCACACCAGTTATTTCCAAACGGAGGAAGGACTTTTCAAAACAACCATACGGTAACCTCACTGAAAAAAAATATAGAAACCAGAAATAAACTTCGATGTTCTCCAGTTTCAGATGGTTTGCAAACAAGACCATCAGCCGTCAATGCAAAGATATAATCCGCAACTTGCAGCGGCTGCATTGCCCCTTGGCGATGCCTGTCACGCAAACCTGCTCTCTGAAGTCCAACCCATGATCAGACTGCTTGGATCATATAGAAAGATATTTCTAAAACAAGCGACTTTACTGTTTTTCCACAAGGCCCAGAGCAGCGCCATGATCCCTACCTGCCACTAAGTTACGCATCTTACCATTAGAACACATTACCCACCTAAGTAACTAAAGAACTATGGATCTAGTTGCATCAATCTTCACAGCATAATTAATCACATTCCAAACATATCTAACCATACTAGTACAATGTAAGAGAAGGTCATCTAGGGTCTCCTCTTCACTACAGACCATACACATCTTACTTCCTACCCAACCTTTCTTAATAGACTGTCCTTGGTTGAAATGTTATACTATCAAAGAACCAGCCAAATAAAAACTCTAGTTTTTAGAGGCACTTCAACAAGCCACAGGTTTTTATATGGACATTTTACCTGGGCTAATTTCAGGGTTAAATACTTAGCCTGTTGAGCATCCATCTACACCTATCCTCTTCGACAGACTCAGACTATCACACATCATCGTCCCATATCCAAATATCCTTCTAAAACCTAGTTTCGAGCCAATACCCCCACTATATTTCTACTAACCTATAACGACATCTCTCACTTTCAGGTCTCCATGAAGGAAATGGGATTGAGCAGCCTTAAATTGAACTTGTGCTAGATTAGCTTGCATAACACGTTTCCTAAGAATTGAACTCTGCAACAGTTCCTTCTAATTTTCGGACTTCCATGTCCATTTACTTAACAAAACAACATTCTTATTTTCAAAATGAAGGACAAAGGAGTAGGTTGGGGTCCCTGTCATCGAAGATGACACTTATGCACACCTAGCATGAATAGTGCTTCTGTACATTTTGTTGAAGGCATTGAAGCATTAGATTGTGTAGCGCCAG